ATTTTTTGTATTTGTGGTGCCCCCTAGTGGTCAACATAAATTAAACTTTCAGGACATGTTCCTGGAACCTCTTAGGGCTCATTTATGCTCAACGTTAAATACGGATCCGGATACAGACGGAGCCTTCTGTCCATGCTCTGTGTTCATTTTATCCGTATTTCTGCACGTTTCCATAAAGCTTACGGATACGGGCCAAACGGAGCAGTACCACCAGGAACCGTAGGGGCAGTGTTGCTGTCACTACCCGATACGTAGCTCTAGTGAGACACGAAGAAGAAATAACAATTCAATTTCTCTCATCGGCAGTACTAGAGAAAAGAATTCTCCGTCCTCCAGTCGCGATGTATTTAACGGCCTCACCGACCACCGCCTCCTACAACGCTGCCTCTGTTTTTGTCTTTTATGCAAGAGGTACATTATCAATATCTCCTCCACAGCCGCCATGTTTGTTTTTGAGTTTGTCGTTGTCATAAACTTTTGATGCTGGGCTGCCTCCTGGTGAATATACTGGTTAACATCCACGCCAACGTAAAGGGCGCATGGAAGTATGTGGGCAGTGACGGTAACATCATTTGAAACGGACGTATACATTTTCGTACGTAAAGGGAGCATAAATGAGCCCTAAGACATTGCTTGCAAGGTTTGTGGTGATTGGCCCAAACATTGTGGAGTCATTTGCTGAGCCATGCCCCCTTTAAAGTTCATTGGTCAATATCTTCAAAAAGCAATGAGATATCACAGTTAAAGCATTGGTGATGAAATTCTGAAAATAATCTCACATCATTCTGCTGATTTCAGGTATAGTGTCAAATATTTTGGTGACACTTGGTTAAAATAATATGAAACAGAAAATGTTGTGCACACAGTACAAATTACAACAAGATAATAAATATCACTGTGAGCTAACTGTTAAACCAATCTGAACACCATTTGATACGTGTGACATCTAGTATCCACAGAATGTTTGTGGCAATGATGGCTGCATTTAGATGAAGACTTTTAGATATAAATGTGAATAAATTTTACATATTCTTAAAAATATAGAGTGAAGGACTTCTGAATTGACTACAGGTTGCAGCATGAGAAGTTTTGACGCAATTCAGTGGATGTGCTGAAAAACTTTCAGCTCTGCAGGACACGCTGGGGATTTTTTCTGATTTTGCTAATGAAAGCAAACACAGTGAAATGTCTTGAAATTTAAATTTAATGTAGTAAGCCACGCCCCTTTAAACAATCATTTTCAAATTTTGTGCATTGACTGAGACATGACCCTAGATGATGCAAACCAAGTTTCGTACAAATATCTATGGCTGATTATGAGATTTGATTTTTGATTTTTTAGACGTTTATTTAGTTCAAGCAAAGAGATACATTTTACCACTTAAATCCCACAATAAGGTTTTTTAAGAAAACAAATCCATCATACATGACATAGGGCAATATGTACACACACTCAAATTCATGTAGGCACACTCGTGTTTACAAAATAGAACAATAATAATTGTGAATAATACAGACCCACACCTTTAAAAGTGTTAAAAATAGGCTATTTCTAACAGCTTTTTGGATATATTACAATTTCCTAATGATAATGAGATATCAACGTTTTGTATGTGTAGCGCCCCCTATTGGTTGTTTTGAATCAAACTTTCAAGGTGTGATTCATATATGCCCATGTCCATAAGTTTTGTGATGACGGTTCAGGAGTAAACTCCATTTATGTGCTGAGCCACGCCCCCTCTAAAGCTCATTGGTCAATATCATCAAAACGCAATGATCTATCAAAAAGTCTTTCATAACTTTTGAAGCACTTCATCCCGTAATGATCCACAAAAGTTTGGTACAAATCGGTCCTACGCCTTAGGAGGAGATGTCAAAAATGTGTTTTTCAAAAAATTCAATATGGCGGACAATCTAGTGGGCGGACCTTGAGGTTTCATGAGGCTTTCTTAGAACCCATTCACCTGAACATGTGTGTTGAATTGAATCCCCTTAATTATAGCGCCCCCATCTGGCCTATTGGCATTATCTTTCTTGAGCACCATTTGCAAACTTCCAATCACTGGTGAAAACATTTCTTAATAACAATAATGCTAATAATGCTAATAATAATAATAATAATAATGCACAAACACAATAGGGTATTTGTCCTTCGGGCTTGAACCTCTAATCAGGTCTTGGCCGATGAAGCTGATGTGATTCTTTCTCAGCCTTTCTCTCTGCATGTTGTGGCCCTCTAATTTCTTTCTCACTTCTGTTTTACTTCCTGTTCAGACACAAACAACAAACATCTCTGCCACAATATAGGAGACAGTGGGCCTCATGCAGGAAGTGATACACCAACAAATGTTCAGTTATTTTTGTTTGTATCCACGTTTTGTTATTATTATTTAAAGTGACAAATGATTTCAAGGATACACAATTTGTTTTCTTATTATTGCTCTTTTCTTAAATGAGAGAAAATGTTCTGATGGAGAGAACTCTGACCAAAATAAGAGAAACATGTTGTTTTCACAGTCCATAGATTGATTGTCTAGAAGGAAACATGTAAAAACATGTCAAAAAAATATATCGGCTACAAGTGCAGCTGAGACGATTAGTTAATTCATTAAACAATTAATTGTTTCATTCCTTAAAATCAGTTTTCATGTAAAAACGTTTCATGGTTTCCCAAATAAGAGGACTTGCTGCTTTTTCTTTTAATTCTTTCGATTTATAAAAATGATTTTAAATTTCCTGCACTGACTTTTACTTTTAATACATTTTCATGATTTTACTTCAGCAAATTTTCAATGCATGACTTTGACTAGTAACAGAGTATTTTCACAGTGTGGTATGAGTACTTTTACTTTAGAAAAGGATGTAAATACTTCCTCCATCACTGCTGCTGACACACATTTAAAGCATCACAGATGAATTCCTGTAACACCAGTACTGACACTCTGGAAAATCACGTTTACTTTGTTAATTTCACAGTGAGTCAGTTTTACTATGCGGACGTTCTTCTTCCTCTTACAGCCTGTTTTGGTGGCATCTCTCCAGGTCTTGGTCATGTGCCAGAGTCTTTGCACAACACCTGCCCTTATACAGTGTTTAGGGGGTGTTACCTATGCTAATAGGTTACTATGATAAAGTCAGATTCATCATTCAGCACAACTGGGTAACATCAGGTCTGGATAGTTAAGACTGTATTTGTACATCTGGAGCTGACTTCTCTTATATTTTCTCTTAACAGAAGATTAAGAGAAAATATAAGAGAAATTTAAGGGATCGTTGCTGCATGAGGCCAAATGTGTCAGTGTTGTTCCACTGCCCCCAACATGTCCAAAAATCAGTTCATATAGGTTAACACCACTGCTCTCCATGAGCAAAGAGGCAGACTGTAGAAAACTCTCTGAGCACCTGTTGGTGTGACAGCTCTTATCATTTATCTGACAATGTCTCCTCACCCACATACACAAGTGTAACCACACAAACCGGAACTGCTTCTGGGTTTAAGAGAAAAAACAGAGTGTGCGTGAGAGAGAGTAAGTGTATCATAATAATAATAATAATGATGGAGAGAGGAGAGGGAGGGAAATGTTGTCTCAGAAATCAACAGTACACTGAGCCAAACTCACAGCACAAGCCTTCACCTGCCTGAGTCAGTAACACCTGAACTCCACCTGCAGTGACTGAGAGATCAGGAAAACTAGTTCACCAGACAACAGAGAAGATCAAACAGATACCTGCTGAAATCTGTCTCTATTATACAGTCTGTGGTTGGGAAGTGAGTTATTGCATTTCATCACTTTGTGATCACTTTTCTAACAAATGTTTCAAACTGGACAAAAAAGCTGAACATTTTAGGGAAACAGGCCAAAAGAAGATCCTGCACCAGGAAAAGATGTAAAGCAACAGACTAAATGTTTTATTCTCCATATAAGGTTTATCTCAGTGTTCATACACAGCTGTATCTGTATCTGAGTACATAAGAAACACAACTACACTTCACAAAAACTCTGCTTCTGTTTTATTGTTTTTTACTTTATCCTATAAAAAAATTAAGCAATTAACTATTGTCAGGTTTTAGAAGAAGGAGAGTTTCTAGGAAACAGCTGTGTCTGTATCGCCCCCCCTGAAGAGTTTCTCGGAAATGTAACCTACACTTCATCATAACAGGATGGAGAAGACACCCGCCCACACACACACACACACACACACACACACACACACACACACACACACAGTTGCAGCAGTGATGACGCGGCTCCTGCGACACTAGTCTAACACACGGCTGTAATCAATCAGAAGGATGCTGTCATCGATTCTATCAACACTATTGATCAGTGCTGATTATGAGGACATATGACACACATACTGACAGCTGATGACACAGCTGCAGGTGCTGATGTTAAACAGCTGACACACCTCAGTAATATTCTGTCTCCTGCATGTTCACACATTCTTCACACATTTAAATCTCATTTCATTACAACTGTAAAATACACTTCAGTCTGAATATCAGTTTTCTCACCGTTTCCATCAGCAGACGTGATTCCACACCGAGTCAGGAGACAGAGACACACGACAGGAAGCAGCTCCATAGCTCTTGATGTCTTCTGAAGACAGCATCACTTCAGCATCTCAGTCTCTATATAACCGAGCCGGAGCCACTCCTAACAGCGGGATTGGCTGAGCACCAACACTTTCGGTTTGCAGGCTTCAGCAAGCTGCAACAACAGAAACACTTCCTGCACTAATCCTTCACAATAAAAGCCTCATCTCCACAGTAACAATGACTCAGGAATTCTGCACCAAAGGTGCTCAGATTGTGTTCAAATGCAAAAAGCGTTTAATCTTCACACTAACATTAAAGCTGTGTATTAAATACAAACTACATGACCTCAAATCCAGCTATAATGTTCACTGCACAGTTTTTCCTTTGTTGTTAATGCACAAATGTCTGTGCTTCTCCTGACCTGGACTTTATCAACACAAGGAAAATCTTTCCGGCTCAGTTTCTCCAGAACAAAAGCAAATTAAGTAAATGTTCCACAGAAAGGAGGTGCTGAGATTTGGCAGCAAAATGAAGCCATTATTGATCATCAACCAGATAAAGTTTGTTTAGCAGCTGAAATAGTTTCTGATACTCTGATTAACTGCAAATCAGTTACTGGGTGTGCACCACTAAAGCATAATGTAAACTTGAGAGCAGGTTCTGCATTATTACCTTTAATATGGATGGAGTCCCTCCCTGTCTTGTCCATGAGCAAACATGTGCTAAAAACTGTTTTTAAAGGAGCAGTGTGTAAGATTTAGGGATATTTAGTGGCGTCTAGTGGTGAGAATTGCAGAGTGCAACCAGCTGAAACTCCTCCAGGTTAGAATTCCTTCAGTGTTCATTGTTCAGGAGATTTTTTTACTGGGAGCTGAATTATCTGCAGAGGTCTCGTCCTCTCCAAAAAAAACAGACCATAACAACATTTCCCCAGAAATCCTCAAAGAATCTCCCTTTGAAACATACCTTTATAGCAGGGCATGCCGTACACCCAAAGGACTAACATCTCACATGGCATCATCAATGACAACTTACCTGGCTATGATAAAATATCCACAAAGCTGTGTTTTTAGTGAGGAGGATTGACATCAACTACTGGAACAGGCTCAGACTGTATTAATCTCCACAAAGCATTAAAATGTCCTAAGATTTAGTTTTAGTACATCCTATCTGAGGAATCAACACTTTGTCACTCCGACCTCGTGACATATTGACGATTTAGTCATGGACTTTCCACGTCCACATAGGACTTGCAAGGTACCCTGGGTGTGTTGGTTGTTGACAGGGTTAGGTTGAGGTTGAGGTTCCACTCCAAAACAAACACACACTGTAATAAAACACTGAGCGCTCTGGTTTTGTGTGATTGGTTGTTTTCTATGTTGTTCTTTTCTTCTTTTAAAGTTTATTTCTTCGGTTGTTTTTTTTTGTGTGTTTGTGTTTTGTTAATGAAAAGAAAAAGACAGACAGAGAGCTGGACAATGATCTGAGCGGGCTGCAAATTTAGCTCAGTACAGAGTTGTGTCTGTATCTGAGTACAGGGCAGGTGGACGAAGGGGGGCAAAAAAGCAGAACTGATCATCACAGAAATAGTTTCTATTTCATTCTGGTTCTGGAGCTTCCCCAGGAGGATCCTGATCACGTACCAGAACCACCTCAACTGACCCCTCTGGATGTCCGAGATCCTCCCCCTATCTCTAAGGCTGAGCCCAGCCACCCCACGAAGGAAACTCATTTTAGCCGCTTGTGTCCGTAATCTCATTCTTTCGGTCACTACCCAGAGCTCATGACCGTGTGTGAGGGTTGGGTCGTAGATGGACCAGTAAATTGAAAGCTTTGCCGTCATGGCTCAGCTCCCTCTTCACCACAACGCATGGCGCAGTGCCCACATCACTGCAGAAGCTGCACCAAACCGTCCCAACCTGGAGGGGGCAATCCACCAGTTTCCTGTAGAAGCATGGCCTCAGATTTGGAAGTGCTGACTCATCCCGACTGCTTCACACTCTGATGCAATTCTAAGGTCACCAAACTGGACCCCTTCCTCCCCCGGCAGTCCATTAAAATCACAAACAGAAGGCAGGAGGCAGTTTCAAGTTCAAAAAAATTGTATGTTTTTCCAGTGCTCTCACTGTAGAGGAGCTGCTCACTACAATGGCTGACACAAATACACAAATGGCCCTATCTAGAGCCAGTGTCTGGTTTGTCTGTTCTGGGCTACTGTAGAAACATGGTGGTGCAACATGGGATCTCCGTAGACGAGGACCCGCTCCCTATGTAAATATTAACGGCTCACTCTAAGGTAACAAATACACAGCGATTCATATTTTCTTAAAGCCCTATTCACACAGGAGTAGTGTTACCCAGGGACCTCATGTGATTTAGCAATAACCTATTTGCATGGGATTAAAATCACAGACAACTTCTGCAATTATTACTAATTACTAGAGGTCCCAGGTAGTACTCGTCCCCATAGGGCTTATGATTCCCTTGTACAGATTTGATCTGGGAAGCACACTCACAGGTTTTTTTTTCAATTGCTTTCAAACAAGAATTCACAAACATGACTTTCAGTTTCTCAGTTAAGTTCCTCTGTTTCCAAAGTTCCTAGAAGGTTTTGGTGGAACAGAGTCTTTTACAGCTGATGTATCAAACTCTCAAACTGATAATTAATTCAGTTTTAGACCGGGTCCTCTAAAAGGTCTCATATGACACTGGTTTCTCTACACCAGTGGTTCCCAACTGGTCCAGCCATGGGGTCCAGATTTCTCCTTAGTCATTTGTTCAAGGTTCACACAGTTTAATATATTCAGCATCATACATCTACCTGGCCATGTCGTCAAGCTAATTTGCTATCTCTGTTCAGTACCTGTCCATTTTTCACTCACTCTACAGCAGGATAAGGCACTTCAAAATAAAAGCTCTGTGCCAGAAATTCACTGTACTTCAAACTTGACACATTTGTGAGTCACTTGCAGCCCATTTAGAATGGATGTGTGACCCACTTTGGGACCATGACATGCAAGTTGCAAACCACTGGTTTAGAGGGTTTTCTGATAACATATATTCCAGATGTTCAGGAGGTTTTTACTGTGAGTTGAATTATCCACAGGTCTCTCCAAAACAACTGAACCAGGTCATAAAACCAATAAAAACACCATATAAAGCAGTTTCAAGTTAAAAAATGTAATCTTTTTCTGATGCTCTCGTCACAGAGGGGCTGCTAACTTCAGTGGCTGACACAAAAACACGAATGGCACTGTCTCAAGCCAGTGATTGGTTTGTCTGTTCTGGGCTACTGTAGAAACATGGCGGTGCAACATGGTGATCTCTGTAGATGAGGACCCACTCCCTGTGTAGATATAAACGGCTCACTCTAAGGTCATGAATACACCGCAATTTTTATTTTCAGGTGATGATAACAAAATGAAAACATAATCATTATATTCCATTTCTGCCAATATATCCTCCTAAATCTTACACAAACTTTGATTTGTTGAAGTTTTCTTTCAGTATTTCATCAGAAATATTCAGCAGCAAGTTTTCCAATCAGTGACATGTTTCATCAATCACATTTCAGGAGAAGAGATGCTTTGTGTGCAGCTCCTTGGAAATACCACACAACCACTCACTGACACATATCTGCAGTCATGACGCAAAATCCAAAGTTATCAGCCAACTTCGGGAACAACAGCTCCATCACTGACAAAGACTTTTACTGTTTGCATTTCCAGAGAAAATATGGTTAATGTCCAACTCAGTTAAAGTCAGGCCATCCCACTTGTTAGCTCATGCACACAGCACCATATTGCACCAATCTGGTTATACGGCCAATCATAAACAGCTGCAGTGTTTATTCAGGTAGCGAGCACACACACGTCTTACCTCCTTCTTACTTTATACTAATAAAAAAAATAAGTCTGAATAGCCCTGAGATATCTGACACACCCCCACACTTGATTCCTGTGAAATATCAGTTATGCGAACAGCGACATGTTGCAACACAGAAAGAGAGCTACTTCAGAATTTAAAGCTGAGAGAAGAGGTCCATCTTGTCATGACAGGATGTTGAAGCCCACCCAACCCTCTCCACTGTGGTAATAATGAAACTGAACCTAAAGTGAAAGTTCCCCTTCACTCAAAAATGTGCTTATTTCCTCTAACATGTCTGACCTTGGCTTAACTGACTTGTATCTGTGTAAAGTTAGTCATGAGAGGTGTTTTCACGTTCCTCTACTGAAGGTTGTGATGTCCGTGAATCTGAGATTCAAACGTTCACCACGCAGCTACATTAGGTACAACACTAATACAAAAGCCAGTCTCTGTCTAACGAGTCTGACACACCTGACGCATGGTCGGCCTTAGGTCAGTGTTGGGTCATTGTGAGGGTGTCACTCTAGTCTTTGCAGTCGCACACCGGCCTAGTCGGCCCTGGTCGGCCCTTGTTGGCTGGGCCTTTAGATATACAGTTTAGGTGACTGTACCAAGCAGGGAGGTGAAAACCTAAAACACTGTCAACCATAGTTTTGTACACTAGTTCTAAAATCTGCTGATTAACACCGAGGCCACTAAGTTTCCTAAGAGGCTGTGAGCATCTCTAGAAAATAAACTCAGTATTTCAAGTGATGCTCACCTGGGAGTCCAGAACTGTACCGAGTATTTATAGTTTTCCACAGTTTCAACATGTTGGCAATGAAGTAACACTGGCTCTGTTTTCAGATGTTAGTTTGTGCAAATGATTCAATCTTTAGTCTTGGCCGCATTCATTTCTAGCTGGCTAATGCAACACTATGTTAAAAGGGCCTTTGTGTGGGTTAGTTAAGCAGCATCACCTGGTGGCTCTGCTCCCTGACTCGGTCTGTGTACAGGACCAACTAAGTCCATGTTGTCAGCATATATAAACAATCTGAAATGTTTCTCATTGATCATAAATTCATTAGTAAACAGAGAGAATAGCACAGGGGAAAGAACACAACCTCGTGGGCAGCCTGTGCTCACAGTGAGCACGTCTGACATGGTTCCCCCGACACAGACTCTCTGTGGGCGACAAAGAAAGAAAATCTCTGACCCAGAGAATTAACTCTGTATTAATGCTGAGATCAGTTAGTCTTTACAGCAGACTAGTGCATACAAGTAGCATAGTGACAGTAAACATGTAGGGCATGAAGTTTCTGGATGTAAACCATACCGGCGTGAACACCATGTCACATCGCAGCAGATATCATATGTTGTACAACCACCAATGCTGTGTCAGCCACTGGCAGCTACAAGCTAACAAACAACATTACAAATAAAAGATGCTAACCACGGGTTTAGGGGCGGGGCTTATGCTAAGGGTTGCTCCATTGCATCATCAAGCATGTTTTTAGCCCCGCCAAAAAAAAACCTGAACACAGAAAAGCTGAAAAACCAACACATTCTCACTCCGACGTCGTCACGTATTGACGTTTGGTCATGGACTTTCCATGTCCACATACGACGTGAAGGGTACTCTGGGTGTGTTGGTTGTTGACATTCTGGGACACTGTGTCAGCTTCAGCCTGTTATATGTATTGACTCATTTCAAGATACACTTCTGTTTTCACAGGAAATTGAACCCTTACATACAGTCCCAGACTTCTTTTTTTTTTTTTTTTTAGGATTTTTTGGGGGCATTTTAGCCTTTAATTGATAGGACAGACAAGTGTGAAAGGAGGAGAGAGAGAGGGGGAGTGACATGCAGCAAAGAGCCACAGGCTGGAGTCGAACCCGGGCCGCTGCGGCAACAGCCTTGTACATGGGACGCCTGCTCTACCACTAATCCACCGACGCCCCATCATGCTGACTTTTAAGCCTTTAAAAGTCTTTTATGCCTTTTTTTTTTGGTATCTGACGCTGCAAGTCACTGCCCAAGTGGTGGATTTTGACAACTTCAGAGTGAGACCGTGCTCGAAAAATAGTTGAAATGGTTTGACTTCACAACTCAGTACAATATAGTTCCCAGTCTTTTCACAGGTTTTCAGCAAGTGTTTTTGAACATGTATAATGTGTTCAGATGTAAATCACAGATTTTATCCTGACTTTAATATTATAGCTGGTTTAGCTGAAGCACATGTTTAATGCTTTATAAACTTTTGGACAGTTGAATCATATCTGATATACAGTACAGGCCAAAAGTTTGGACACACCTTCTCATTCAATGCATTTTCTTTATTTTCATGACTATTTACATTGTAGATTCTCACTGAAGGCATCAAAACTCTCTGCTCTGATTACTGCTTTGCACACTCTTGGCATTCTCTC